ACGCCTTGCGTTCTTCACATTTTAAAAGTTGGCTTCTAATTTTTCGGGGTCGCCTGTGATTTGATTGGACGCTTTATCTTTTTTCAATGACTGACATTGAATGAGTACGAGGTGCAATGCGAATCTCAGAAAGGTAGTTGTAGTAAAAAAAGTTTTTATATACAGATAATTTACCCTATATCCCTACCGTTCATACTTATAACAAGAAACCGTCTTCTCGCTGGAACATTTCATCGTATTGTCTTCTCCTATCTCTCTTTTCTTTCTTTCATGTGCATGTACATGCGTTGACTGTATCCCGTCAATACAATACTAGTCGAATACGTAGACTTCTACAGGGCCTTCTAAGTAATGCGCGCCGGGTATAATTCAAACCTCTGCCCCCATTGGTACCATTACCCCTAAAGCAAATCGTCTCCAGGAGACGAAATTGCTTATTTCTATCTTACAGTGTAAGCCTTCTTAAGGTTAGCGTTTTCGGCAGCTCTCTCTTGGAACACTTGATTTTACTAGCTAGCGACCAGGTACTACTAGCTAGTAGTCTTACATGATGTACGGCTCCCTTTACATATATTTTGTTCTCAATTCGTTTAGTTTGCACTTGGCTTCAGCCTACTAGCACTATTGTAGTAGCTGAGAGATATCTTTAGAAGTGCTTGGTGTCTGTTGGAATACAAAGATTTGGTGCTGGATGGTTTCCAATACCCTGTTTTCTTGAACGATTCAAAGACATTTGGATCATCTGTGCCTCAACTAGACTAATACCCATTTTTCTGTGCAAAACCAAGAAAGGAGAGTTTGATGTCAAGAAGGGACTAAAGTAGTCCGTCAAACTAGTCAGTATGCATTGGCTTTCGTCCCTGTGTTTACAATTTAAACCTTTCCAGGTCTGATGCTGCCTTTGTTAGCTAGCTAGCTAGCTTGTCACTTGAGATCCAGCCTCACATTTCACATCACCAAGAACATTCTTCTGCTCCACACATACATGCCGATGCAACCATGAAACGCTTTGCTTGAGTGAGAAGATGTGTGAATCAAGTCACAAGAGCAGTCACATGAAGGTGCGCGGAACCGCGCGAGTTGTGTAAAGGCCATGTAAAAAGAGGACGATGACTGAGCAACGACAGCACAAACTGTTTGACGTGGAAGCACTGCATCGGTACAACACCATCCTCTTCCGTACCATCCCTTCCTTCTCTCTTGCCTGTGGTGTGGAGATACATAACACTAGCTTCTCCTGCCTGGTACTAGCTAGCTACAAAAGCAAGCAAAAGAGCTCTACTCGTCTGGTCTTTGGCGAAATCCCTGCATCTAGCTACTACACGTGTAGTGCTGTTGCTGCGAGCCATCTTTTTTCCTTGCTGGGACTCGTTGGTTGGCTGCGCCGTCTTAACAACCACCTGGAGCTGCTCTTTTCAAACACTTGACTGGACTGCCCCAGCGAAAGATTATTCCTGACAACAGTACCTTGATTAGTTGAGGATACCCAAGAGGATACCCCAGTGTGAGAGACCAGCCAGTGCTATTATCCATACAGGTACCTACCATTACATCGACTATTAGAAGAATACACGACAACCACCACCACCACCATGTCCGTTCCCAATACAAGCGAGTTGGACGATGATCAGATTGAGGCATTGATCCGCAAACTGAGTGCCATTAAAGGTTCTGCTCCGGAACTGATTGCGGCCTTGGAAGCTGAGGCCAACTCTCGCCTGGCCAAGCAGTCCAATCGGAGTGGAGGCCGTGGCGGTAGAGACCGAGGTAGAGATAACCGGCGAAGTCGGTCACATTCGTATGAAGACGAAGAACCAGACGATGACTATGACGACGATTATGACGAAGGAGAAGAGGAGGAGGAAGACGATGATGAAGAAACGGACAGCGAAGATGAAGATGAATTCGATGAAGATGGTCCTTGCGTGGGATACGGGTATTCCGATGAAGTATCCGTCATTAGTGAAATGACTACCCCCACCGTAGTCAGCAATCTACACGTTCCGGCGGAAGAACGATACGAAGAAATCCACGGAGCCAAGAAGAGCAATAAGCCAGATCTTCTCAGTCAGGTCAACAGGGTCAATGCTGCCAAAGGCCGAGGCAATAACAGTCAAAGCAGTCGAGGTAGCAGCAACGCTGGACTCAACTCGGACAAACGCAAAACCTACACATCGGGATTGGGTAAAATTTCCGAAACGGCAGAGGCGGCGGCTGTCACCAAACCCCCAAAGTCGGCGGCGGCGACTGGAACACGAGGAACTGGCGGAAAGAATAAGCAACCTGTGCGTCAAAAATCTGGCGATGGCGCGGGACGCAAGGCATCATCGTCTCGAGGACTGCGACGTGATAATTCACCCTCTCGTGGCAAAAAGAAACCCGTTGGTGGCAAACGGTCGAATCACAGTTCCGGGAGTGGGAGTGGCAAGGGATCCAACAAAACGGCCACCACTGCCTCCAATGATGCATTTTCCGATGATTGGCACAAGTCACTGACGGCCGCTGATGGCGCCACAGATGACAGTGGATTCCCCTTTTCCTTTGGCGATTCGGAAAATGCATTTGTGTCATCCAGTAACAGTTTCTTCAACAAAAACGCCAAGGGTGGCGGTGATACTACGGATCCGTTTGACCCATTCGGTGGTGGTGATCCCTTTGCAACACAGGCAGCACGGCCCACCAGCAAGAAGGGTGGCAATGATGGCTTTGGTGACAGCGATGCGTTTGGTGCCAGTACCGGCAGTGGTGGACGAGCACCGAAGCCCAATTCCACGAAAAGTCGACCGCGACGATCATCAGGTATGGAGAAAGGATCCAAATCAAGATCATCATCCAATCGAGATCAATCTCCAAGAAGAAAAAAGGGTTAATCAATCTTGCAGTTGGTCGCAGTACCGTCGTCTGTGATCACTTGGTGGATGAATACGTCACTTTTACAAAACCACAACACTCACTCACACAAAAACAACCAGTGACGGCAATGCCATCACAGACCTTTCCTCCTGTGCTACCGTCTGGTCTTTTTAGAGCGAACCAGTCTCTATACAGCTTATAGCAGACAGTTAAATACAAAAACGTTGTTCTTATCAACGCATTACTTGGTGGATAGTGCAGCGTCACTGTTATAAGTTGTAGAATTGAGTTCGTTAGCTATCTATCTTCTTTTGAGTTGTGCCTGTTACGTTGCTGTTTGGGTCTTTAGAGTCTTCGACTCCTTATCTCAAAACAAAGCATAATATTATGTCAAGCACAATCAATCATCGTAGAGGCAATGAAAGGGCACATGGTTCAAGAATTTGTCCGCATCAAATGGAGACACGAGTTTTGCTTCTGGCATCATAAAAGGCATGGCCTGTTCTGGGGCAATGAGTTTGCGAATAGTCTCCTCCTTGGCCTGATCAAAAGGAACGAGAAATAAAATGACACAAACGAATGAGCCGAAGGAACTATCCAGCAAGCCAATGATACTGTCTGTCACCGATGCAACCTACGTACCTCTCCATATGCCATTTGCACCTTGTCGCGTGTATCTTCCGACATGAGTGGATACAAGAGATTGTAGGTTGCCTTCATCCAAAAGGCTGGTTCGGTGATGATGGCGGTCTTTAATCGTTCGGGATAATGATTTTGCAAAGACGAGAGCGATTCCTTAATGGCCCACATGGGTGGCGCATTGCTGGAGGAATATCCTTCAAAATCCATCACCCCCAGTACCTTTTCTTGGGTGCCTCGACTGTGGAATTCCGTGGCGGCAATGGCTCGTTCGGCGACGTAAAGCATGGTGGTGATGTATCCTTCTTGGTTGGTTTCGGAAGACTGTCGCCCCATCCGAACGGCCACGGCTCGATTGTCTCGATCTTTGCCTCGGACAAAGAATGGTTGTCGTAATTTCAATTCTTCTTCAATATTAGCCCTGTATTTGATTTGGAGCCCTTCTTCTTCGGGAGTGAGTTGTTGGCTATTATTACTGGATGATGGAGAGGTAGAATACATGACACGCAACAAATCCAGGCGTCGTTCCTAAATAATTAACAACAGAAAGTAAGAAAACAGTTAGTAGAGAGTTATTGGGATTTTGGAGAGGAATGCAGGATGAATGCAGGATGACTTTGGGTACCTACCTTTCGAAATTGGAGGCATGCCCTCAATCGATCCATGGCAGCCTGTTCATCATGTGCCGATGCCACCAAATGACGCCTAGCTTCTCGCCGTGCCATTTTGAGCGTGTCTTGTTCCGATGGTTCCTCCTCGAGCGTGGTCATGGCAAACCAGTAGGCATAGGATGTGCAGGCAGCGGTGGTCTGTTCCTCTGGACTCAATTCCTCCACCATTCGCTATCAAAAAACAAACAATAAAGAGTTCAATTATAAGAGAGGAGTGAGTGAGTACATTCCATGATGGATGGATGGATGGATGGATAAAGCCAACCATCATTATCTCGAGCCGTTTGTTCGGTTACCTGACAGGTCTCTTTTTCTTCGTCATTGGCATAGGGTATCGGTGACTCTAGAATCTCGTGCACTATCTCTTTGGTTAGTTCTGGATAGGCCGTGCCAGTGGCATCCTGAAAATCTTCCTCGGCATCGTGAAACTCATCGTCGATACTCATGGTGGTGCTCTTGTTTGCTGCTTGCTTGGATCAATCAGTCTACAGTATGATGATAAGGTAGACTAGCTAGCTAGAAGATGCCATCAACCATCATCAAGCAAGCGGAAGCAAAAAAGTGGGCAGGGCGACTGGTCCTGGGAGGTTGTTTCGTGAGTGTTCCGTGTTTGCTGACATTATATCACAGCTCTTCTGGCTTTTATGACGTCATCAACTTGTTGCATTCACAACGCTCACTTTTTTGGTCGGTCATGCCAAAAGATTCTTCCACACCAGATTCGATTCCTCGCTTGATCACTTGCATGTTGGAAAGCTCCAACGCATTCTGCATCCTTCGATTGAAGATTCACGAATTGATCATTGTTTGTCCAATGTTATTTTCGTATTGCTTGGGCCGCAACAAGAACAACAAGAACGATAAAAACATGAAAGTCGTGGTGATTGGTGGTGGCATGGGGGGTGTCGCGGCATGTGTGGGGATTCGGTCGTATGTGGCATCTTCCACGCAAGTGATTTTGGTCGAACCCAAGGATCACGTCGAGATTTGTTGGGCCACCTACAGAGCTCTCTTTGATCCGGAAATTGCCAAGGCATCGCTCTATCCACTCGATTTGTTTTGTTCCAAACACAATGTCTTGCATATCATGAGTTCCGTCACCAAATTGGAATTACTGCCGACCACAACTGGCGACGACAACGACAATAATACTGATACTACTGATACTGATGCTAGTATCAAAGTAACATGCGACAATGGAACCATCATGGACGATATTGACGTGTGCGTCGTGACGACGGGAGCCACCAATCCGTACGCCGCCTGGGGACGCGGCAAGGAATATCTGTCTTTATCTCGACCAGAACGATTCGCAGCCATGGCGAAATATGGCAAATCCTTGTTGGATGCCAAGACGGTGGTCATTGTGGGTGGTGGATTGGTGGGAACCGAATTGGCGGGGGATATTGCCGTCTTTTCCAGAGATATCGCGCAGAGTACTCGCGTCATTATCGTTCATACGGGAGAGCGATTGTGTCACAAGGAACTCCAGGAAACCGCTTCTAAAATGCTGCAAGAAAAATTGGCCGAGTTGGGCGTCAAGTCCATTTTATCTGAAAAAGCACTCGTGGAAGGCAACAAGGTGACACTGGAAAGCTCGGGACAAGTGATACAAGCCGATCAAGTCATTATGGCGAATGGGATACATCCCCACAATAATTCCTTTGTCGACGCACAATATAAAGACGACAAGGGATGGATTGTGGTGGATGAATACTTTCGCGTCAAGGGCGCGGAACGCAAGCTATTTGCCTTTGGCGATTGCGCCACGGCACTTCCCAATACAGGAAACTCTATTGTCAACAATATCAGTACCATTGGATACAATGTCAAGGGAGTGCTGGATGTAGCACACAATGGAAAAGAACCGTGGATCTCCAAACATGCCGCACATTCCGACGTTTACATTTGTACCGTGGGACATGACGATGGGGTCGCTCAGACTCCCTTGTTAAGCTTTGATTCCGCGTTGCCGGCATGGAAGAACTATTCCATGTTCCTCTATGATGCGAGAAGCAAGTTGGAGCTAGAGCTTGAGGAAGGAGATCAAAAGTGTTAAGAGAACAAAGGATGCCAACAATCCCCACGGTCGTGATTATTTGCACGCTGAAAGAAACCAATCCGCCAAAACAATATACAAAGCTACCGTAGAGGAATGCCATGCATACTGCATGTGTTTGGAGCTCTAAAAGTGGCTGATATCCCTTGAGATTACCCAACTGCGGGCTCCAACTTTTTGGGGAGTAGCGTCAGTGCAGACGACGGACACAGCCTGCGCAATTTTCGGCAAGAGTCAACAATCTCTGGTGACTGCTATTGCTTCTTGGTTTGGATGTGCTCCATAAGGAATTCGTTGGACCATCATCACTGTCTTTCGAATTACAGCATAGTCTGGCACTCCTGTTTCACCCCAGCACCAGCCAGCGTCTGTGGCCAAGTTTGAACCCTTCTTTGAAGGACGACCAAAACGAACATTGAGAGCAAGACTGCCTTTCTGTCAATTTTGCATTCACGTTCTATGACTAGCCAGTAGGATTATCGTTAATGCAGGGCAGCCTTCTGCGATAAGCGGGTGCCCTTACCAGACCTCAATCATGAAGGAATATATCGATAATGTATGGTATGGGTGAATTCAAGCGATTTTGACCTTTTTTATCGAACTTACCTGGGTGCATGAAGTACATGTACTACTATTTCTGGGCACGGACAAGCTACCATGCCTTGAGCCTGTTCCATCCAGAAGATATCGTTTCATATCTTCATTCTCAACTTGAAGTTGTCAACTGCGGCTGACCATTCAGTGAGGGACATCGTAGACGAGTGATGTCCGAGACCCGATTCGCCAAGAATACCTTGCAGTGTCCTCAAGGTCTCAATTGGAATCTCCGAGTAGACAGACAGTGGTTGCCTGGATAGGTTTGCCGTATCAACTGACATCTGATTACACATACTGCGATGTTCCTTCCAATGTCGTTTTTGACACAGACGTGAACAGTAGGGAATTTTGCATACAGGGCACCCCTTCGCCTTTATCTCTCGAGACTCTGCCATCCTGGACCCGCACAAGGTGCACATAAGGGTGTAAGCGGTTCCATCCCATGTAGCACCAACCGATTCCTTCTGGACTGCCAGGGACTCCTTGTCTTCTTGCCTTTGCTGATCAGTTGACTTGAATTGTCGCTGCCAAATCTTCACGAATTCATCACGCATTATGCCTGTATGATGGTCATCTTGATACGCTTTTGGGTCTGTCAACGCCCACATGTAAGATCTTTTTGCAAGCTTAGCCTCCCCTAGACGCATTTGTGTTGTGCCCAAGGCTACAAAATACCGACGTCGACGCCCAATTGAAGGATATGTGCTTAGGGTCAAGCTAGCTGCTTCCTTGTATGCCAAAGCAGCCGACAACAAGGCCTCACGCGCGGCTTCTTCACATGATTGTGTACGATACCGGTACAACAAACGTTTTGCCAATGCCTCATAAACCTCCCCAATGCGATACTTGAGGTAGCTCCGTACATGTTTTGCATGGGGGTGAATCTTCACAAGACTTGCAATCAGCTTTTCGGCGGCACTCACAAAGGTCTCCTCCTGTTTATCATGAATGCACCTTTTCATAGCAATATGGAAGAGCGAAAATGCACCAGGGTCGCCAATCCCAACAGAGGCTAGGAAAACCTGTGCAAAGATTCGATCCTTGTCGCGTACCGTACGAGGAGTCGTCACCCGATTGCCTGGGCTGTCTTCTTTGGACTCTATAAGGTATGCATTCTTGTGTACACCTTCTGAATATCGGAAAACATACCAGTTTTCTTCAACTGACCAGAAGGCAACAGCTGGCACCTGAAGAACTGGCTTTTGTAGATCGCCTAGCCGTTCTTCAACATTTTCGTACCATGCTAGTCCTGACTTAGACAGTCTTGCAAATATAACCTCAGGTTTTGATACATACATCATGCGCATGCCTCCACCCAAGAGAAGTGGCTTGCCAATGAGAGCTTCCAAACATTCTTTGGATTGATCCTTAAAATGGGTGGCATATGTCTTGATGTTTGTTGTCCACGAAACGCTCTCCAGGTGCAGTCGGAGAGATCCCACAAGTCCCTCTCTGACGAGTCTTTCTTGAGCATTGTGTCTCTCGTCGGGGTTGCTACTGTCATTTGATGAGCTTGACAGTGTCACCATAAGATTTTTAACCAACACATGGCCCATTGTGGAGTCTAACATTGCACGCGAAGAATCATTCAACTCATCCACAAATTTTCGGCACAAACCTCTTTCTTCAGCAGCTGCTGCAAGCTGTTGTTGTTTGTGATTGCCCCGCGGAGATACTTCTGGAAGTCCGCACAGGAGAGAAGGTGGGACTTTTGGAACAAAAAGCCGTTTGTGAGTAATGTTTTGAAAAAGTAGTTCATCACTGTCGCAGTCTGAAACCGACATGAAAGGGTGTTGGCTCTTTGTGACTGGGTCTCGATTTTGTCCCAGGGCTACAGAGCAACCATGGCCTCTTTGTCTCAGCAAATTAAGACAATGGCTTCTCATGAACAACATATCTTCATCAAGATCCGGCAGAGAAACTATCGTCCCGGGGCGATTCTCTTCTGGAATGTGGCACTCCTGCTTGTGTCCGTTGGCCCAGTGTTCAACTTGGCACTCACGGCTGCAGTAGCCTGCCAGCTCTTTGTTCTTGCACTTTGAGCATGTCTTCAAGCCATTTAAGCTTGTAAAGGTTCGACCACATCCATTGGAGCAGGCACACAGGATACTGCCATCTTCAGAAAGGGTTGTGGAGATCATCTCCTTGTTGGCTGGTTTTGGCTTTTACATGTCATGTGCTTTCGTCCTGCTTCGTTTCTTTGGCACCTTTTCGCCAAAACAAGAAATTCACTCCAACCCGCTGTAGGAATGACTCGACTCGACTTAGAATTTATCCACGTTTCAATCGCGGGAGTTCCACGATGCTGTCGTCAAAACCACTAACTTCGTGCAGTGCGACACGGTGCGCAACTAACTTTGTTGATTTGATTTTCGCTCTTCTCGAGCAACCGTGTCTATGCCTCCGTCAGGGTTGTGTTCAATCAACTTTCCAGAATAGTCTGTGCATGCTTGCACATACTGTTCCACATCCAAAATGTGCTGATGCCAAACTAAGTCCACAAGGGGGGATGGAGACAAGGGCATCGACCACAGCAGTGTCAGATTTCTTTTGAAGCTAAACGAATCAGGCCAATGCAGACTCGTCGAATGCTAAAGTCGGTGAAGGGGATCTCGTTACGGTAAATTCAGAAGAAGCAGCAGCGATCACCCCACGACAGTGTGGTCCGTCTTGAGCAATGATTGCATTCATTACATGGCGTGATATCCTGACAGCCGTCCAAGGCCAAAGACGGGCAACGAGCCCATGTTCCTACTTTGTATGTATGGTACCAGTTCCAAGATGCATTTACATACAACTACAAGAAGGTTAGAGTATCAAAAATTGTTGTCTAAAATATGAATTCATGGTATATTAACTACTCCTTGCCGTAGTCAAAAGGGGTGCATCTCCACACACAAGTTCTCGCCTGGACAGTTGTTTTTCTTTTCTCATGTTTAGTCTGCCTTTTTGGATGCAGGAACGGGTTCCGAATCCTCGACCGTCTTGGTGGTGACGGCACACGGTCCACAACCAAAGAGAGCCGCAACCGAGTTGCCAATATGATTCAAGAAATACCGGTTGGGATCGTTGGCTTGTTTTTCCAGCATTTCCTGAATGCCTGCCTCGAGGGATGCCCTGACCTTGTCACGAATTTCCCGTGCGGCCTCGTCGTTTTGCCAATCGCCGTTCAAGTGTGCCGTGGGAATGGGCTCTCCGACCCAAAAGTAGACACGTTGGAGCTTGTGAGGCAAAATGGGAGCACTGACGGGGACCTTGAATCCCTTGCGCATAAACCCGAGGTCAATGTCAAAGATGCGGTCAAACATATCTTCGGTTCCGACGGAACAGCAGGGGACAACGGGGTATCCGTGCTTGATGGCCATGCGAGCAAATCCCAGTCGTTGTTTCCACATGAGTGTGTAGCGGGGAACGTCGCAGGGTTTCATGATTTCATTGCCGCCACCGGGATAGACCAGAATATTGTCTTGGTTCTCCATCAAGCAGTCGACATTGTCGCGTGTTCCGTCGACGCCACCAAAGAAGCGAATCATTTCTCCGTGCAATTGTCCAAAGTGAAAGTGATCCGAGAGACCGCGCAAAAAGACGTTGGTTTGGTTGTAGACTGTGGCGACAAAGGGAGCCATTTCGAGTCCGTACAGAGCATGGTTCATGACGTAGAATCCTGGCTTGTCGTGAGGAATGTTTTCGGCCCCAGTCAGGACAGGGCGCAGAACAATGTTCGGTGGGCTAAAGATCCAACTGGTCCATTTGGGCGGTGCCTTCCATGCTTTAATGTCGTGCTTTTCAATGTCCTTTTCGACATTCATGGCGTAGTCGACTCCCAACTTGACCAACATGCTGGACATTCTCTGCATCATGATGGAACACGCCCATGTGTGGACGGCAAAGACGGCGCGAAGGGTAGCACGGCCATCTTCGTCGTGGTGGTAAGCGTAATAGCAGAGACGCGCGGTCAACAAAATGGTGAAAAAGTTGACAATGGGAATCAACAACGGCTTGGAATAAAGGGGTGCGATCAATTTGTAGTGCAGTTGCAACAGGGTCTTTTTGTAAAAGGCATCGGCCACCGTCAGATAGGTCGAGGCGACAAAAATATGGAGAAGGGTCCAGAGACCCAAGGCAGCGTCAATTACGGCGTAGTCAGGGACGGACGAGTAGAGGCCACTGGCCCAAGTGTAAGCAGAAAGCATCATGGTCACGATAACGTTGTGGTCGTGAGTTTCCCAAAGAGAGTAGAGGACTGAAATCATGGAAGAAGAGTCTTCGGTACTGGTTTCGTGGTGGCGGTGGCGGTGGTGGTAGTTGTTGTTGTTGTTGTTAGTATTGTTGTTTGGATTTGCAGATTGCAGTTTTGTGAGTTTGGCAGACAAGATATCGGAACTCCTCTCCAATAGCTTGGCACCCGGCAGCAGTGCCAAAGATCCACCGCGAAGCTCTTTGGTTATCCATATGAAAGATTGCATTTGATGGAGGCACAAGGTGTTGGTCAATCGGGTTCTATGTTGTTTTGGTTATTTTTGGTCATCAACTTTTTGTATGCAAGAATTGACGTCCTTTTTGACTTGCGTGTCGTTGCGGTGCGCGAAGCGCGAAGGCATTATTTTCTTCAGAGTCTAAATTCAAGGCAACTTCGAGATTTAAGAAATGGTCATTGGTACAGTACTGTACCTGAAGACATACCGGTACAGAGCGTTAGCAAAAGCCAATGACAGTTTCCACATCATCAAAAAATGTACGTAGTCTAGTGCGGTCGTCTACCGGTATCACGATGTGCGTGAAGGTTTACGCTTTTGTTGGCTCGTCCGGACTTTGGACATCGGCACCATTGAGCTCACCATTGTTACATTGTTACTACATGTACCGGTACCGGTACCGGTACCTGGTACCGGTAGCTAGCTAGAACCCCCGATTTATGTAATGGAGGCAAGCTTGGAATCTTCCTGTCTTTTTGTTGTCGGCGGCAAGGAGGATAGATCCTTGTGAAGATCGCTCCCGCACCCCTACAGGAGACTGGGGGGAGAACGCCTTGACCGCTCGGAAGCAACTTGCTTGCTTCGCGGTAGGCTGTTGGAAAGAAACACAACCTGATTCGATTCATGGGCAACCCGACTGGCCAGTCCGCGAAACGATGCCTTGCCATCATCCATGCTCACCGAGAGAATCCAACGGCACTTGGCCAGTGCGGGTGGATGCAACGGTACAGAACGAATCAATCAATAGCACACTGACGGAGGAGGTCCAATGGTGATGGTCTATCGCTCGCTCCTACTGGCTACTACGTTGAGTACTCTGCAGCTTGACACTAGAATTAAGCAAGATAGGCACACTCTCGAAAAAGTCTTTTGAATGATATATGACCTGTTCCAGGCTCTAAATCATTAGCCTAAATGACAGAGGAAAGTTTCCCGACATTATGCCGACATTTTGCCGACATTTCCGACATTCTCATACAAACGCCGACATTTTCCGACATCCTCGTACATTCTCATACATTTTCAGACATAGAGGCTTTCTTCTCGGACAAAACTCCGACATTCACGATTAGAGGCGTCCGTTTTGTTTGTTAAATCATCGCTAGTCTCAGTCGGGGATAGTTTCTCCCTGCATTCTTCTAGGAAGAAACGGGACTTATTCGGCGAGCTCCATCCGTTTTAAGTATCCTGACCTTAGTCGTAAATGTCGGCAAAATGTCTGAGAAACCTTCCGACAAAACGCCGACATTTTCCGACATCCTCATACAAACGCCGACATTTTCCGACATCCTCGTACATTTTCCGACATCCAGTTCAGAATTCCTACATTCTCCGACATTCACGATTAGGGAGTCTTAGGCTGTATGACTTAGAGGTTGGAAGAGGGTCATTTTGGCTGATAAGTCTTTTATCGTGGGTGTTCGATGGCAATACTTTAGGGGCCTTTGAGTTGTTCGCTCCTGTACTACTAGCGAATAATCCAATACTCTAGCTAGCTACTAGGCCCCTTCATGCATTTGTGAATGCGTCTGTTTGGCGGGGGCTCACGCGATTTTGGTGAGCTTGGGAAACGAATGTCAGAAAGGTATTTTCCGTATGACGGACAGACGACCCTGGGATCCACAATCACGGTTCGTGATATGGGGATGTGTGACTCAAACAATGGTTTCCGATCATCATCAGATGGCCAGGTGTACGAGGAACTGGACAATGGTCGTCTAGATATGCAACTACAAAGGTTGGAAGATAGGTCGAGGAGAGTTGAATGCAAGGAGCGACGGGATGGAGCAAATGAATGGACGGCTGAAGGTCATGGTTTAGTAAAGTGGGAAGCCCTCCAGGCGCCAACCAGCACTTCAGGAAAATAGATCGATGAGATCTAACTGTAGATGAAACTGCGAGAAGCATAGGATCGAAAATCCTGGTATATGTTATGCAATCGGAGCTCAGTTGTAGAGCTCCAATCTGAACGAGAGAGAAGTGAAAACGAAACAGATAAGCCAGTCCACTAGACAAGTAGAGCTGGAAGGATATTGATTACAATATAGGAAATTGGCGTTCAATTCACACCTTTTCCACACGTGTTTTAAAGCGATAGCTATCAGGAAAGAGTGAGTCTTGGACCAGGTTGTCAAAACAAGAAGAAGGACAGAATTGAGAAGTAAGTAAGATGTCTACGGAGGTAGAGGTATCATCGTCGAGCAAGTATCCAATCTTCGATGGGAAAGATGAGAAGTTCAGGTTCTACAAGGTAAGATGATGGCCCATTTATCGAATTATGGGTACGTAGAACTGATGAAAGAATCTACGGAGATCAAACCGGACTAATTGGGGAAAACCTACAGGTACGGGCAAGTTGTCGGACGACGAAGTAGAAAAGATCGAAAGTCTGCAGAAGAAGAACAGCAAGGCCTGCTGGAATACTGCTGGATTCGATCAATGTGGAGACCATCGAAGGGCAAGTCGCCTTCGACCTACTGGCCTCACACCAAACGACTGACCATGCTGCTGGGAAATTCAAGGCATGTGGGAGTCCATGCTGGACCTCTACGATGCTGAAGACAGTGGTGAGGTAGCAGCTCGACGAACGGAATAACTACGCGATAAAGATGGACATCAAGGAAAACCCAAAGAAGTTCGAGATTGGACTCGACGTGAAACGCAAGAAGCTAGCGAAGGATGGGTTCAAGATATCGGAGAAGAGTACATCAAGGACCTCTCGAGAAGAATGCCGAAGAAGGAAGGAGAACTCGGAGTGTATCATGAAGTGAAGAAGAATGTTCTGCGAAGGATCAAGACAACAGGACATGGAATAACGGTAAAGAGTGTGGTGGATGACTTATGCGAAATCTACGATGAGATTAAAGCACGGAAAAGTCGACAGACACAATGGCGAAACAGCTTTCATATTGGAGGAAAACAATTCAAGGGCAGATGCAGGAACTGTGGAAAGATCGGACAACAAGCAACAAGATTGCCCAGAAAGAAAGGCTCGAACGGAAGAAGCTACGGACAAAGGACCAAGGAAAGCCAAGCGGT